AACACATAAAAATCTGTTTAACAGAGTAAAAGGACACATTTAATTCAGTTATACAAGTCCAATCTTTTAGGGATTTGAGAGAACAAAATGTTACAATAACCCCGGTTCACAGCTTTTTTTTATCAAGAGAGCATACAGTGGTTATAAAAAATGAACAGACTTATTAAAATGCTCGGCTTGTGTGATGTAAAATTGCAACAATAATAAAAAAAAAAACAATCAACTTTAATGTGAAATAATGTATGTTTCAATTAAAGACAAACAAGTACGCCAAAGGGTAAATGAAAAAACCTGGTTACATAGGCATGCATACTTTTCGACTTCTACTTTGACGATATTTTAATATTTAATTTCAGCATTCTTTTTTTTGTGTGTGTGTGTGTGTGTATGTGTGTTTCTAATATCCAAAAATCAATAACACTGCCTTTGTTGTGCCTCAATTGAGTAAAAATGTTTTTGGAGGTTTGGTTTACTTGCATCTTTTAGCTATGACCATTTTTGGCGAAAAGGTTAAAAGATTTTAACACGTGTCTGACTGTACAGGGACACAAAAATTCAAAGCCTTGTGAAATAAAATGACATACAGAAGATCATAATCAGGAAGGTGTAAACACCTGAGTCACAGTTGAATTACAAAAACTCTCCCTCTCTCCAAAATAGATAAAAGATGGAGAATTTATCAGTGAAGAGAGCTGTGGTGAAGGAACTGCATGTCTTTCTGGGTATTAATTCTCTTGAATCAAGGAAGATGGCTTTAAAACTGGCAACTTTTTCTTCCAAAGAAAACAAATTTAGCTGAAATTTCAGAAAGAAACTTGTGGTATTAAGGAACTGAAGTGGAACTTCTGGGACTACAATTTCTAACAGAAAAACCCACCAAAGCACATCATCATCATCTAGAATACTAAACCTAGAATAAACCATTTTGATGGCAGTTCCATGCTCTATGGTTACTTTTGATAATAGTGTTTTGTGTAGTTGTCCAAATTTAAGTTACTGTTCTAAATATCAACTGACAAAAAAAAAAAGTGATTGCAAGAAGGCTGGAGACAAACGACAATTATATTTTTGAGAATCACAGTGAGTCTAAATCAGACAAGAATGGCTTAGTTGGACAAAAAGAAAACTGAATATTCTATTTAAAATCTATCAATGAGTCAGAGAGAATTTTGGATAAAACATTTACAAAATAAAAAGTAAAAAGGGAGTAAATCCAGGTTGCTGCAGCTTTTAAAATATATATAACATATTTACCTCTAACAAATATTAGTTGCAATAAAAATTTAAAATATTTGGAAATGGTTCAATATGTTAACATCAAAACAGCAGTTTTTAGGTTTGTTTTGTTTTTTTCTCATAAGCATAACAGTAAGTTGTATAGAGCAAGATTTGGATCCCACAAATTAATCTGGTCACTCTAACATCATAATTAACATTTTTAACTGTTGGAGGACAAATCCCTCACATAAAAACAGTCATGAAAAATATAGCCCACTGTTAACCCAAACTAATTCAAGTTAAACTTTATTAAATTATTTTATAATATATTACAATAATATGTTAAATGCAAAATAATATTTTATGAAATATACTTGTCAGCTATATGTTGCACACCCATATGCAGCACAAGAAAGATTATTTCACCTGTGACATCTTATGTAGAGAATGTAAGTAAGAGAAACAATATAAGCAACACAGAACAGGTAAACAAAAAGATGCAAGGAAAATGACAGATGAGAAAAGTCCACATTTGTTCAGACAAATGCCTGTGTCTTGCTCCTTCACCTTGAAAACATGTTGAAAAAAAAGTCAAAGCAGCCTGCTCAGGATTCTGCGCACAGACTGACATGATGGTAAAGCGGGCAACAGAAGTGGCTCTTAAAATTAACCACTCAAAATTGTTTCCCTAATTTAAATTCTATACTGAAATTATTGTTTTTATGTCAGTATAAAAACCTTCAGACTGTTTCTGTAGTATAGCACTACCTATTTAGTTAAGTAGACTGGTGTGATGGATATTAGTGTTTAAACCCCAAAGAAAAGCCAATAGTTAAAGATTTCTATCTCTGTTTTCTTTCCACCGCTGTGTTTAAATCTGCACATTATCTGATGTACGCCGCTGTCGATAATTACAGCTGGATATGCTCACATTTAACTGTCTTCCTAACAATAAGTAATGACCTTAAAGCTTAGCTAACACAATTAACGATGGCACAGGGGGAAGATAGAATTCCCATCAAAATAAAGCATTATGTAAATTATTAATTACAGCACAGACAATTGCAATCTTGTTCGACTGCCCATTGGCACCAAAACAAATGGGAGAAAGTGGAAAAAGGAGAGGAGAGAGAATGTCTGCGATAGTCCTGACAAGGAGGGAGGGTGAGAAATGTTTTACTAATACCACCTGCTCCTGCAGTAATTTACTAAAATCATTTGCAATTCAAAGACCAAAGGAAAGCTTCTTATCTAAACTGACTCTTAACAAATGCAAACTTGAATGTAGGGAATAGTTAAGCAATTATTTGTATAGATTTGCATTTGTTCTACTCCATAGGATATAATTCACAACGTGCTTCAGTAAGTTAAACACAGATTCAAAGAGAAATCCTTAAAAAAAAAAACAGGAATGATAATATAAAACAATATTATAGGTCATATTTACTAGGAAAAAATATATTTAAAATTTAAAATAAAGTTTTACTTTGACAAGCTATTCTTCTGCTAGTAAGGTCGAATTTTACAATCACGTCTTCTTCTGATGTCAATTTGAATTAAGAAAAATTTGATAATAAAAGCTTGAGGGAACAGGGAAAGAGCCTGTGAAGTAAAGAAAACTCGGAAAAACAGTCTAGTGCAATCACAATGATGAAAAAGTGGAAAAAAGAGTGAGCGATATCTCACATTTTGTCTCAGATTAATGGTCTCACATGGAAGCGAGGGAGAGCCAAGCTCTGTGTGAGAAATGATAACCTCAAGCCTTCCTGTTCGCAAGCATCAAACCACCCTAAATTCAAAAGCCTTAAAAATCAACCGATCAGTGTCTAAGTTTACATGAAATGATGCCTTTCTGTTTGATTATGTTCCTATTTTTCACCACATCTGTCTTTCCTCCCTCTCAGTCTGTCTTTTTTTTTGACAGGTCCAGCGCTGAATACATCACCTCTGCTTTCAATATTGTGCTATTATCTAACTGAATTGAATCCCCCAACCTGTTCTCCTGTTCTGACCATGGACAATATGTCTGTCAGACTTTGACAAATTAAACCAGCTCGATATATGGCAATAACCTTCACAGCAAAACATGGGATGGTAGGAGAGGGGTGTTACAAAGGCAGAAGAACAGAGACTGAAAGAGGAATAGAGACACATACAGATGGATGGGGCCATATATTGAGCAGGGCATGTTATTTCCAACCACAATTGAATGTGTGTACATTACACTTTGTGTAAATGACACACTTACTGTTAAAAACATTAAATTATCTAAGCCAAATTAAGTGTTAAATAGTTTCTCCAATAGTCCCCAAGCTTCATAATCCCCGTCAAAATTGTATAGAGGAAATGGGATTTAAGAAATAATCAGTTGTCCTTGGAAAAAGATTATGAGGCCAACAGGATCATAGTGAAAGTACAGTTAATGTCAAAAATAAATATATACCTATGACATATTTAAGTTTGAGGTGAATTTTTAATACTAAAAAAATGTTTTTCTGATTGTAAGTAAACTAATGGTAATGTTTATAAAATGCACAGTCCTAATTTTAATATGATAGAGAATCTCTGGAGGAAGCAAAAGATAAAAACGAGACTTTGACCTCATCCCAAAAAAACAAAAAACATTTTAAGCCAAATTTGAAACACAAAATAACAACATTATAAGAAAATATCAACTGTTATTATTAAAAAAAATAAAGGCTTAATTCTTTAGAGGGGCACAAATCTTTTTCAATATGCCATTTTGCATTAAATATCAATAAAATCAAACTATATTACAGTGTTCATGCCTAACATGCTGAAAGCCCTAAGTTAGTTAAAATAAAGGTTAAAAACTTTGTTGAGACCTACATATGACTGTTTTATTTAAACTATCAGCTGAAATGTCACATATTTTATGCTTTGTTCATGTTAAGCAGTTTAGACAGTATAAAATGTGCTATATTAAAAATAAAAAAAATCTTCCATAATCTTACCACTTTTTGAGCAATGTCCTATCAGTGCCATATTCTCGGGTTGAGATTAAAATAATTTAAATCAAAATCTTTAAATCTGCTAGGTATATAAAAAGTGTGACAGTTAACATTATTTTATCTTTTCTCAAGTTAGAGAAAAAGAAGAAAGCTGGTCATTTTATGAGTTTTCTGTGTAAATAATCATGTTTAGCTGTTTTTATTTCATTCAATCATGTCATGTTACTGTTGTAATTCTAAACAAGTACATTAAATATTTATAAAACAAAAACACCACCTTCCAGCTAGAATTATTTAAACCTACAGAGTGAGTTCTCTATTAAATCTTTCAACAAATTTTAATTTAATTTAAAAAAGTGGCAATATGGTATAAGCAACCAGACCTTTATTTTCCACAGCAAGCCATTAAATCCCCCTTATTAAATTGTCCAGGGGGGTTGCTATTTAGACCCACTTCCGCGGGATCTGACACAAAGCTCCTGCAGCCTACTTGAAGCTCACAGGCAAACTAAATATTGTGTGAAGAAGCAAACAATAGAGGGTCGTTAGGGAACTATTGTTGTGATTTCCTCTGCTCAGTGTGATAACGGCTTGATTGATGCCGAGCTTCCCCAGTTAATCACCTGCCCTAGAAGATGACTAGAATGCTCCTCTGGCACAAAAATTAAACCTGAGATGATGCAGCAACTTCAAAAGGCTGATAAATGTGCAAAACTGAGCATGAGTGAGGATCAGATGAACAGAGCCTCACAGACAACAAAGTAACTCACACGTGCAGATCAATTAAAATAAAGGCTTAAGTTAACTCACCTGCTCGGAGCTTGATGATGCACTGCTTTTCTTTTGTTTTTTTTTTCTTATTTTCTTAAATTTGTTATTGGCACTGCAAAGACTTTGTGTAAAGGCTGCTCAGCTGTCCTGTCCACATAAGACCATTGATCTGGCGGCCAAGTGGAATGAGTCCCTGCTGCCTCCACGGGTGAAATGTGCGCTCCTCCTCTCTGCCGTTCACAGCCTCACACAGATGCAGAAATGAGGATGGGCAGCCTGGCGTTCCGCTCCCTCTCCCCCTTTTCTCTCTCACTTTACCTCCCTTTCTCTCCTGCAAACTGAAGATGCTCTGACTACAGCTGCCAGTTACTATGACGGCCCGTCCAGTTATCCCCTCATTCTGTTTTTTGCTGAGTGAACTGCATCCTATCTCACCATCTGCTTTTTTTTTGCTTTTCCTCAATTGATTCCTGTGGCTTTCCCCTCTCTCCGAATTGATCCATGCATCTCTGTCTTTGCTTGTGCAGCCTCTAGTGGCCATGCTGCTCGGAGGGTCCGAAAATCTATATTTATATATATATATATATTTTTTTTTTTTCTTTTAACAATGAGTACATGAAAGTTGCTTTGGAACTGCAGCTTACATCAACTGGAAAAAAGAAGAAAGAAGAAATGCAATGCATTGCCACAAGAAATCTTTTAAATTAAACAGATTCTATATTTGTGCTGCAGGAGCTGCAGATGTTTATTTAGTTTGACAAACCTAATCTGTTTTCTTATCAACCCAGAGGGTTTTCTTACTGAAAAGCTGAGGGTTTTCTTCTCTTCAAACAGCCCACTACTGTTAAAAAGTAATATATTTCATCTAGGATGAAGGGGATCCCTATGATTAGTGCTGTAGTTTGTAGGGTTCTAATCCCCTCAAAGGACAAATATATTTGAGATGTGGGGAAACCAAAAAGTTTTTTAAATATAACTAGCTGGTTGGTTTTCATTGCACAAGAATTTTTAAAACAAAGAGTATCTGGAACCATAGACTATGAAATAGAATCTCCTTTATAGTAGCTGTTAATGTCAACAAACTAACCAAAAAATTATCTTTTCTTACAAGGTTATGTTTGATGACTAAATGTTTGACCAATTATTTGCAATGGAAGCTTCAGAAATTCTCTCCAAATATTTTAATTTGCAGGAAATGATTATATTTTTAGAAGTTAAAAGATGGATGAGGGGATTTTTTTCCATCCAGTAGTCTCTCAGTCAGTGGTAACATGTATAGGGGGAGCTAGGGCATCACTCTAACAAAAAGTGCAGTAAAAAAGTATAGATGCATTTGACCTTGAATTATATAGTAAAGTATACTTATCAAATCTGATTAGTTTTATATATATATATATATATATATATATATATATATATATATATATATATATATATATTTGGTAGCATTCCTGTCCCATTTTGGCCTGTATGTGTTTATATCGGATTAAAAGCATGTTTAGAATGTAAGTAAGTTCTTAACATTTTTGCCTTTGATAAGCCTCGATGGTAGTCTCTCATCAGCTAAGATTGGGGCAAAAGGAGCTATGCCCCTTAACAAATAGGGCTTTTCTTGTAATTCCATATTCAATCAAATTAACCCATGACACTTGTCCCTCCAAGTCACTCATGGCAGCTCAGATGCAGAGCTCAGAGGCAGCGGCACCTTTTTCCGCATAAATGTGGACTCATATGAAATACAGGAAAATCTAGTGCAGCAAAAAGCCATCCAGTTACTTATTTATAGTGTGCTAATTTCATTAAGCTTTTGTTGGATAAAAAAATAAAAAAAAAGCTGATAAATTTGGACAGAACCATCCGAGCTAAACAGGGTAGGCAGCATGTACCCCAAATGTGTATGTTGTGTGTCCTCTAACACAACATCATCTCCAGTTCAGACAAGAGTAATACATCCAATAAATAAAACTAATAATGACTGTTTAGATGATCATTGTCCGTGTAATCAGTTAATTGTAGCATCTAGATATTGACAAACTAACAAAGTTTAAGGGGTGCAATTTCATTCAGACACAGTATTTAAAGTATTTGTTGGGAGCTGGAGAAGTACCACCTTTCTCCAGCAGAGTCCGCCGTGGATCCTCCTGAGCTGAGCCTCCTGCACAGCTGCAGCCCATTCCATCATCAGAGGATCCACAGTACTTAAGCTGTCTTCAGACCTTGCCTCAACGCCGCAGTGTTGATCCAGTTGGTTAGCACCTAAGCCTAGCATCTTTGAGAACCTCTGTCGACTTCTGAATCCAGACTGGATTCTAACTTTTGTCTCTGTCTTCCAGGAAACCAGTTTTTCTCCAGAGAAGCTCTGGTAGAGCTTAACCTGCCGAGCCTGCCCTCTGAGCCAAACCTGAAGCCTCTCTCTGAACCTCCATGCAGCTCTGGACCAAGAGCTGGAAACTCAAAGTCAAGGTCTGCTCAATCCTAAGAAGTAAGACGCTGAAGCAGCTTGCGGACTCTGCTGATCAAACCCTCTCCAGATCCAACAGCCTCCCTCTCAAGGCTTTAATCAAGAACCCTCAAGGTACAAATCTGAAACTGTCAAGAATCAAACTCCTATGCGCTACGCTAACTGAACTGTTTCCCACGCAGACTCCGGTGAACCAGTTTCCCAGGCCTGAACCAGAACCAGTCATTATCTCAATGCTTGTGTCAATAAACTCTGTTAAACCTTTTACTCCAGTTTCCGTCTCAGTGGTGTTCTGCATAATTGGGTCACACCAGTGAACCCATCATGACAGTATTACAGTAATGCTAAAAAGTAAAATACTTTCATTCATTGCTTTAATCTTTTACACAATTACTGTTTAAAAAATGCATTTTGGTTTCGGAGCAATAGGAGAGAGTGCATAAATCAAAGAAACAATACTGGTCATAGTCAGATTAAATATTAGATGTTTAATTGCAGACAGAATTTTATTGTCAAGTCACTATTGTGTTAAGTTATAGACAGAATGTAGGGTGCAAAATTCTAAGGTCTCCTAGGTACTACCCTTAAATTGTTTCAGTGACCAAAAATATGTCTTTGATAATAAGGCCAGTATAAGATGTTGGTGCTGAATGAATTTGATCTGCAAATAAAGGTACATTTAGTTTAGTAACATCTTTCATCTTACTTGTGACACTAATGATGAAATGATGAGGCTGTAGAACATAGAGAGCCATTCAGGGGCCAGTAAAATAAAGATGGTGGAGGAGAGTTGCAGTTTGGCTGGAAAGCAAAGGAAACCCTGAATTTGGAGCAATGAATGCACAATATTGAGCAACGATTGGCTGATGTGTTCTGATAGGCTGGTACAGGAAGTGCACTAGGAGGTGATTGGTAAGAGTCTCTCAGTTGAATTTACACCAAAGCAGCACATAACATAATTCTTTAGCTTATAAACTGGAGACTACAGTACTTCTGTCTGATGGTGAGTGTTTATAATGCTCGATATGTCATGTACTCCTGATGTTCTGCAGTCCCCCCCCCCGCCTGTTTTACTTTGACTTATACATAAATAAATATTGTGAGCAAACAGACATTAGACAAAACATTAGCCTTATAATTCACTGATTAAGGAGTGGCAGAAATAAGATAAAGATACAGTGGCTGACAAGTACAAATTCGCAGTAAACAATGAAACAAGCAGTAAAAACATGTAAGGTAAACTTTAGAACTTGCAAGCAAAAAACCCAAATGTCACAGTAAAAACCCTGCAAACAATAAGACCTGCAATCACCTAAATATAAGCAATAAGATCTGCACTCTGTAATACTGTAAGAGAATGGAATGAAAGACTACAAACCTCTCCTTTTCCCTTCTAACTTTATATTTTTTTTATCCTGCTTTAAAGGTTAACTCCCTGTTTGTACAGAGGGTTTGGTCTGATATGGTTTGTCCTTTGTTCAACTCCCTCTAGTGGTCTGGAGCGCCTCACTTTTTGGAGCAAGTTCCCTGATGTTTTACTAATCAGCATCCTTTAATCTAGCATTTCTGATGGGCTGCAAAGCATTGGGACCAACATGTTTTTTGCAATGTTAAAGGCACAATTGTGGCAATTCCAGCAATGAGGCAGCAATTTGACAAATGCGATGGATGCAAAGCAATGTCTCTGGAGTGGGAAAATAATAACCTTTCAGAATTTGACTGTGACGTAGGGAGAAGGGGGGCAGTGCCCTCTAGGTTTTTTTTTCATCAAAATGAAACAAAACCTAATGCTGACATAGGACGAAGAAAGTAATACTCTAAAGGTTTGTGGGTGGCTTTTTAACAAGCCTTTTAAATGTAGGCCTTAAAAGGCCTGTTAAATAGTTCTGGATTTCCTCTTTCTCTTGTAGCTACAGAGGTGGGCGCGGGCAGCTGCCTCTGCCAAGCATCTTGCTCCTGTCTACCAGAGAGCACTGTTCTACCACTTTCCTCTTCCAATCTCCCACTGTTAGCTTCCAGAGCTTACCACAGCCACAAGCCTCCTCTTCTCCACTCAATCTCTGCCCACATCCTCCTCTATTCTACCACTTTCCTTCCAGTGTGGGACATGGCCGGCCACCTCTGCCTCACTCTGGAGCATTCAGCCAGGGTTGTTGTTGGGATTTCTCGCTACTCCTGTCAGAGCTCCATAATACCATCATGGCTTACCTTTGTAGTGTGGCTGATCCTGCCTTGAACCAGAATACTCAGAAAAATGCACAGAGAGACATTACTATTAATTAGCCACAGGTCAATCCTGTACTCACAAATCTCCAACATTACCAACCATAGCTTTAAAGCTTTAACAACAAGTGATCTGATCTTGATTGGTGGATTTTATATATGTTATTAGTAAAAATATATATATAATAAAACAAAAAATATATTTAATAGTCCATTGATTTGTATGTACTATAAATATTACTTTTTGTGATTTAAGTCATTTGGATTCTATATATTAAAGTTAGGCACTCAAACATTGTTCTGTACCAATGGGAGAAAAGATTGCTCTTAGTCTTGTTTGATTTTGGATTTCCAAACTTGTAATTTGTTCAGAGGTTGTGCTTGCCAGGTCTGTGAATAATCTAGGTCCACGTTCATATGGAGGAACTATTTACTGTCATCTTTATTCCTCCAGCTATGCTTAGTGCACACATCTGCCAAACTGGCTAGAAATTAATACAACTTTCAGTCTTAAGTAATTCAAAATAAGAGGGTCTTTCAAAATAATATCCTGAAACATTACAGCAAAGAGTTTCCCTGTCTGAAAAGCACAAAACCTCTCCACATATCTTCGAGACAGTTATATAAAATAAAACTTTGTATGTGCATCCACTATTTATGTGCACCAGAAAGCAAGTGTTTATTATACATCAATAGAGCTACAGTAGGGATGCAGGTGACGCAGTGGCTGGCGTGCACGATCCATGTGCGGAGGCCTTGGTCCTTGACGCAGGCGATTCGGGTTC